CCCTGTGCACAGGTCATCTAGGGTCCGCTGTAAATCTCCGACTTGCTTCAGCTCTCAGGAGGGTTTTAAGCCCTGGGTTCTTCCGGGGGCATTTTCGTCCAGGGACCCTCGTCCCCCATGCTCTCGGTACCAGTCCAAACCAGCCTTCCGCAGCTCCCTTAGTTTCCCCAAAACACACCGGTTTCAGGGTCGCATGACTGTTGTTTTTCCACTCACTGACCTTCGCAATCTTACTAGTTTTGCAACCCCTTCAGTTCTGTCTGGCTCAGTTCTTCTTTCTCACGGCTGGCCGGGGTTGAGATAGAGGCTTCTGGCTGTTTGGCAGCAGAGAGCTTGTTTGTGTACGCTGGCCTTGGGCTGCAGTTTCGTTCCTTATCTTTGGGCCTAGCTGGATCGTCGAGTTAACCCGTTCCTTTCTCCCTTCCTCCCTCTTCGGCCTCTCATAACCTGCAAAGGAATCTTCCACTCCCCACTTACACCTTCAACCCTTCCCAAGATACTTTCCAATGCATATAAAGGCGTTAGCAATATACAACACTGGTGCTTACCCAGGGGACCCCATGGGGGGGCATTTTATTGTGACACTATTTGATTAAATCAGTGGTCCAGTTCATTCAGTATCCTGTCATCAGCAGTGGATTGCATCAGTTATTGCAAAGGAAGGTGCAAGAAACCGTACAACAGGCAGTTATGGGTTAGCCTGTCCCAATAAATAGTTTCTAATATTTGACCCTTAATAGTTAGAGGTTGGTTTATGCCCTGAAGCAGGAGGGTTTATATCCTTATTATTTTTAATATGTATTATTATAACTCTGGGTATTCTTATTACCTGTATAAATGTTTAATTCCTTTTCTGAATCCTGCTTGGTGCTTGGCTTCAATGGTATATTGTTACAATGAGTTCCATGAGCTTTCTGTGAAGCATGTGGAAAAGTATTTACTTCTATTAGGTTTAACTTTCCTTCCTTTCAGTTTCATTGACTATCCCTTTGTTTGTGTAGGATGAGACAGAGAACAGAAATTCCCACTATATCACCTGTAAGCCGTTCATTATTTTGTCTATTTATAATGTTTCCCCTTTGCTTATTAAAAAAAGTCTCATTGATTAAATTGTAAAATAACAAAGTAATATAAAGCTACAAACAGCAGAGGTAACAGAAACACACAGAATAATTAGATCAGTAAACTACACAGTAATATGTAGAAGACATTCAAATGACCTCTAAAATTAAAAAATACCCTAAATATTCAGAATCTTAGGAGTACAAATCTTAGAAGATAACTGTGTTCTGAGATTTATAAATCATTATAATGTATTTGTATTTCATTATAGCTATCATCCCAAGCAAATTCCTGTAGGCTGCTAATGTTGATTTAGCCAACTTCAGTGTCTTGAGAATTATCTCCACATATCATGGAGTAAAGCAATGGTACAGAGAACAAAAGAAGCATACACAAAGGAATATGCAGGAAAGAAATAATAAAATGCAGACAGTAAGTAAAGTATGAACAGATAATAAATGCACAAGTAAGTATATAATGGCAACATTGCACTTCTTAGGGATGTAATGGTGGGAAACTGATTTACGAATCCACCCAATTTTAGGCTTAATCAATTTTTGGTTTTATTTATACAATTTAAGACAGAATTACCACTTATAGTGTCTGAACACATGTTTATGCCAGACAATAAATAGATTATATAGAGGACCCAAGTTGCTGCATTCCAGGGCACAGGGAAGTTCTCCTGTACTCTATGATGGCCGTCATCGCCTCCTTTGACCCCTTGGTCTTGTCCTTCAGTCCCATTCCTTCAGCTTCTGATCCAGAGTTTCACCAATTTGGGCCGTGTTCATTGAGTCTTTTTATACATTTCCTGCAATTTACACAATTTTTGCTGTTTAAACCATTGCTATCTTTCTATTCCTTGTCATCCTGCCCCTAGTTTTTCCAAGTAAAAGGACTTCTTGTCATTACAGGTTTGTGTAGGGTTTTTTTAATCTCAAAATTTCCAGCACAATGTTGTATTTATCCTATCAGCAATAATGTCATTTTAAGCAAATCAATAATTTTTATGTAAAAGGAGAAGAAATGGCAAAACAGCCCTACCAAGTAAATCTTTAGCCTAGCCATTACCTCATCTAAATTATCCATAATTACAAATTATTAAAATAAACTAACAACACTCATCCTAATCTTACCATTTAACAATTCATCATCTTTATATTTCGGTATTATAAGTCAGAATATTTAGTGTGTCCAATTCTATCCCTTAATCTGTTTGGGTTTGGAGAGCACACTATGACCCTTGAATGTCAACATTTGTGTATCTGCTGCAAACATGGGGTTTCCAGGGGACTTTCGTCACTCCAAGTCCAAAGCCTTGTGTTTGTGAATACTTCGTTAGTAATTTTCCCTGTTACTATTCGGAAGGGCTTGTTTTTTAGGGCCTTGATATTTAGTTGTTTTAATGGCACCCCAACACGCTGAACTTCTACTAAGGAAGCACTAAGCAATGTGAGTTATAAACAAAAACAGTGAATTCCTGATACTCATTATAATGCCAAAAAATAACTGAGAAGTATATGTTTGAGTTTTCATTCTTATCGGATAGAAGAATCTAGTGTTCTGAATATCAGAATACATTTCAACGTGGGCAATGGTCTAGAATAAAGGAATTCTAATCCTGTCCCTGCCTTCCTGCATGACCTTCAAGTCACTGCACTGCTCTGTTCCCCTTTCTGTGAAGTGTGTACACCCTCACCCTCAATTGGAACAGAAGGGGTTAAGGAAGGACAAAAGCAAAACAGGAAATAAGTCACACTTATTGCTGCAAGTATTCAACAAGGTGTTGTGTTCTTTTGTGTTTAATCATAAGAAAGGGGTTTAATAATGGGTGGGGTATCTCACTGGGAGCTTGAGCAGCAAGATTCAATTTAGCACAAACTGAAGGAACCCACAAAGATGTGGACCAGAAGATGGTGTTAGATCCAGCAGAGAGTAGGAGATGTCAGTGGGCTTTAGATGAGGTTTGTAAAGCTGTGTTTACAGTGAAGGGTGGCTAGAGTATACTTTTCCTGAGTGTTATTGGTTGGTTGATCTAGAAGGAAACAGGTATTTTACATATGGACAAAACCTGTGAAAAAAATGTACCAATAACATAGTTTTAGTATAAGTTGCAATAAGGGTGGGGAAGTAAAATAGCAAGCTATTTTTAGGTCAGAGAGTGGTCAGAAAAAGCTCAGTGTGACCTTTTACAGGGGTTACTAACCAAGTGAGGGACAATTAACCAGAGAGGGATATTGACTGGATAATGATCTTGCCTACTTTGTAGGAGTTTTATGAGGGTTTCATTAAGATGCATCATTTGGAAAATATATAGTCCTAGCTAAATACTAAGGATCAGTATAGTGCAATGCTTACTGCACTGCCTCAGGAGCAGGAACCAGAATGTGACTTGGTCACAATCATCTTCCCTGTTTCCCCCTGCTATGAGGAGAGAAGAAGGGACAGCACAATGCACCTGGATAGGGTACTTCCCCCAGAGTGCAAGAGCTCTAATTCTGTGTGTGCCGTTCTGTACGTGCTATTGTTTGTGCTCAGAAATGATTGACTCTGACCAAAATGGCCAAATGACCAATATGGCACTTGCATATAGTTTCCCTGAAAACACTATCTGTGGGTTCAAGGTCTGTCTCCTGCACAGTTGTGAACTAAAGACCGGATTTGGAAATTGGCCATGTATGTATAGCAGTTTGGGGTTGTTTTTTTCTCAAGTTTAAACTTGATGAAAAGAATTAGCAAAGGCCAGCATGTTTAAAGGAGGCAGCTCTGCCTTCTCTGTACCTTTTGATAATCAGCCACTTTTTATGTGCATAAATAATGTATGTATTTTGGTGCCCAAGTTTGCAAATTTTGGTCAAACTACTTGATTGTCAGATCAAGATTGTCATTTGGTATGATATGATGACTTGAGACAGGAGTTGCCATCTAGAATGAATATAACTTTAGGATGTGTGTATGATTAGATATATTCCTGGCTAAAGAATGCGTTAATATGTTGGAGCAAAGGGTATATTAAACATTTCTGAGGTGCAGGTTGAGCGACAACTGTATTTCTGCAGAAAAGGACTGAATTAAAATGCTGAACTCATTCATTATGACAGCAGTCCTAAAACACTACAGAATATGGTGACTGAGAGAGATCTTTCCATTTTCTTGTGAAATGTGTAATTTTTTTTATAACTAGAACAGGTAATTTGTCACCTTTATGTATCTGTCAGGTTTGGCAGATGAGTTTTGTTGTTGAATTTTATTTTCCATCTGGTAGCACAGAGGTGTCATATAAAATGCTGGTGAGCTTTGTTATGTAGATTATGATGATCCTGGCCCCAATCCTCTCTTCCTGTGGCTAAAGCCCAAGGGAGGGGACTAAAAGGAAGAAGATATTCACCATTTAGATAGGAACTAACTGTAGAGGGAATGAGTGACAAGATAGTACAGCCAAAGCTAAACTATCTTCCCTCCATGATCTCCACAGGACTAGAGGGCAAACAGTGTGATTTTTTTCCTAGCCCTGACGCATAGTCTACCCTCCTCCTACTCCTTTCCCAAACATGGGCCAATGGTTTTCAGTCTACAAGGTCTAAAGGAAAGGAGAGATGATGTGGATGCTCTATAAGAAGTGTATGCAGATGAGGATAGTGTTGCCTGTAATTACATGTTCAATATTACTTAAAAAGATACTTTTGCATGTAATCAAGTCTGTGCAAATACATAGCTGTAAAATGAAATCTTATATGACATTGATGGGTTCCTTTCATTTGGGCCCTGTCCCACAATCTTCTGCTTGTAAAACTCCTGAATGGGAATTCTGCCCACTGAGGGCTTGCTTTATCTGGCCCTCGCTATTGTGGGCTGGTACCTGGATACAATACATAATTGTCAAAGAAATAAGCTTGACCAATAAATAATTCCTGGATGTTATATTAAATCTGCAGGTAATATTAGAAACACCGAGAAGCTGAACTACGATAAACAGCACGAGTATGAGATAATGGTAACTGCTTTTGACTGTGGACAAAAACGTGCAACAGAAGATGTCTTAGTACAAGTTGATATCAAACCAGTGTGCAAACCAGGCTGGCAAGGTAGGGTTTAATATTTGATATCATTTATTTTTTTTTCTTTCTTTCACAATATATAATGTCTGGTATTCTTTACAGTTATGTGTAAAATGATTACTATTTTTTACTGGTATTTTTTACTTGTGGCAAAGCTCAGAACGAAGGACTGATCAAATCAACGCAGAATAAAAGCATCATTTAAAAACCTTTCCAAAACTTAGTCAAACATTCTATGGAGTTCAAAAATGGTGATGGTTTGGGTTTTGGTTTATTTTAAATCCTTTTTAGTAAACTGTTCAGAGCCAATAGAGCTAGGATAAAGCAGCAGTTCTCAAACTTCATTGCACCATGACCCCCTTCAGACAACAAAAATTACTTCATGACCCCAGGCAGGTGGCAGGGCAGGGGCAGAGCCCGAGCCCTGCTGCCCCAGACTGGAGCCCTTGGGTTTTGGCTTCAGCCCCAGACCCCAGCAAGTCTAATACTGGCTCTGATGACCCCATTAAAATGGGGTCGCAACCCACTTTGGGGTCCCGACCCACAGTTTGAGAACCGCTGGGATAGAGCAAGCAGGATTCTTTTTCATGAGTCATCAACAGAGTTGTTTACTAAGTTCCACCTACATGGACAGTCTGTTAGTGTTATTAGTGTATTTGCACAGTACCAAAGAGGGCACAATCCGCAGGCAGCAATCTGCCGTCCCTAAAATGGGGTTAACACCTAATGGTTAGTGTGGATGCTTATGGAGGAAAAATCTTGCCTTCGTTGTCATCACCTAGGTTGTGGAGCCGGCTGACAGAAGAAACTACTTGTAAACTGAGCACAATGGTTCTGGAAGTCAGTGAGATGCAATAAACGTGGAGCACCAGGATTCCATTTTTATACTCACCATTCAGAGGAGAAAACCACATGTTAGTTGTCAGAGGCCATACATAGTTTTCATTGTGCATGTGTCCAGAATATTTGAGAGACAGATTTTATAAAAATAAGCGTATGAAAGAAACAAATTTGAAATAGTTCTACATTTTCTTAGCTATGTTTGTTGGTCTAAAAAACTTACTATTCTTGTTATAAGATCCAAGAGAATTCTTTAGAGAGATTTTACTTGTGCAAATACTCTATTTTGTGAGATCATTTGCTGGAAGATTAAATGCATCAAAATGTAAGCTCAGGAACTAGTATTAAAATGTTGCAATCCCCGGTTGTTAACTATTTCATTATTTCCATAAAGGTATTCTATAGACTGGGTAATCTTTGTGAAGAAATCATGCTCAAAGCACAATTATATTGCCCAATAACATCATACTTACAGCAATTTTATTTGACAGTTCAGACATCAATTACAATACAGTTGCTCATTGGAACATATTTCAGGTAATTAAAAAAACTGATAGGTGATAAAAGATGCAAACAACCCTTCTTGCTTACATTCTCCTTCTTTAATATTACGTAAAATGGATATAATCTATTTATGATCTTGGCAAAAGGCTGGACATGAGTTCTGATTCTTCCCACATGCAGAAGTTATTCTCCGCCTAGAAATCAGAGTTGTGTGTGACTGATGCTTTGTTTAACTCTTGATGTATAGTAGGGATCATTCCCTGGATTGTTATTTTAATGTAGTGACATTGAGAGAATTTAGAGGCCCATATGTTTGGAATGGAAAATAAAATGGGGAGGAGGGTGGGAACTGCATTAAACTGAGGCAGAACTTATCTAAAGTATGTAGACAAAAATCACATTTTAAAAAAATTTGTACACTATGTGGTATAAGAAGAGAATAGCTCATCTGAGACATCTATGGGCAGTTGGAAATGATGTGGCCTGATAGCGTTTATTAAGCCTGTACGTAATATTTATTTTAACTCTGAATTTTGTTTTTGTAGGATATGCTGCACAATTGTGTTCTTTGTTGTTTATGGTCTGAGGTTGTTCAAGAGTCTATTATGAGTCTTTGGCATAGGCCATGGAGAAAATCTGTATTAGTAAACTGCACTAGATTCTGCTCTCAATTATACCAAGGTACTTCCAAATTAGTTCATTTGATGGAGTTAGTCTGGTTTTTACATCAGAGAAATGGATAACAGAATCTCTTTAATTGTATCTACGTTTCTTCAGATCACTTGAAATGGTATGTGATTGCATTGTATATTGTAAGCTCCTTGGGATCTTGGTTTACATGAGTATAGTGCATCTTTGGCACTCACCAAATAATAAGCATAGAATCATAGTTTCTTTGAAGAAAGCACTAGCTGAGTTTCAAACAGACAGCACATTTTTCTAATCAAGTTGAGTTTCTCCTATATTTTATATAGACCAATAATCCACTCACCTGTGGTACCGTGGATTTTTAAAGTAAAATGATAGAAGCTTATCTCGAATTTTGTATATTTGCTTCAGGTAGTTGGTTCTCAGAATCTTCACTCAGTTGAATGAGATTGTTTTGGTTGTTTGTTCAATTACCCATGTCCTTTTTACATATAGCAGAGGATTATAAAACATCATTACAGATTTCTTAGAAATTGTGGAATGTCATTACAAATTACTGTCCTCCCTTTGATACTGAAGAGATTGTGCCTGACCAGGTTTCACACTGGAATAAATCACCACACTGGACTTGTGTTAAGGTTAGAATCACTGCCTTTAATAAAGGAACTGATGAGCCAAACCTTCACTCCTTACTCAAACAAAACTCCATCAGCTTTTTGATCAGGCTCCTAGTCTTTGTGACACTAAGGCAACATGACCACCTTTTTAAATGAATGTGCAAAAATCTAAATATCAGAGTGCATCTCTGTTCCCTTCTTTGTGTTTTTCTATCAGTGTTTTGAATTGCTGTTTCATTTTCTGCTGTAAATTGCTTTCTCTTTGAAATCGAGTACCATTTAAAGTTTTAAAAATTATAATTTGTTTTTTTACAGATAATGGTTAGAAACTTGTTTGATTATATATGGTATTTTAAAAACATCTGATAAGTAATAAATTTCAAAGGTCACATTTAAAAAAAGAACTAAAATAGGAGTATGTATTGTATTATTAATGCTTATTGCAATGAAGACATGAAAGGTGTTATTTTCAAAAACTGATAGAAGTAACTAATTTCTGCTTGTCAGACCCAGTAGTATAATAAGAAAAGATACAACATAGGCAACAGTGAGGTGGGGGGAGAAAAAAAAATCATTACTAGCATGTTGAGGCCTGTGGTGAATTATGTTCCATTATAAATTATGCTGGGGGGAAAAAAGGAAAGGGGAATTTAGTATTCTTGAGTAGAGAGTGTGCCAAAAAGAAAGAAAGAAAAACACAGGTACAAAGACCTCCTAAATCTCACCTTCAGGTTGACAAAGATCTGATCAGTTATTGACCAATTAAACCACAAATCAGGTTTTTATTTTACTTCACAAGAACAGAATGATTCCAAAGGGATAACAATCACTAAGGCTACCGGGCTACTGAGCTGCTGTAAACAAACCAGTCTGCTCAGAATTCAAGGAACTCATCTGAATAGTCTGTCTCTTCCCAAAATACATAGTTAAAAATGAATTAAGGTTGCAAGTAAGAACATGAGAATGGCCATACTGGGTCAGACCAAAGGTTCATCTAGCCCAGTATCCTGTCTACCGACAGTGGCCAATGCCAGGTGCTTCAGAGGGAATGTAATCATCAAATGATCCATCCCATGTTGCCCATTCCCAGCTTCTGGCAAACAGAGGCTAGGGACAATTCAGAGCACAATTTTGCATCCCTGCCCATCCTGGCTAATAGCCATTGATGGCCCTATCCTCCATGAACTTATTTAGTTCTTTTTTGAACCCTGTTATAGTCTTGGTCTTCACAACATCCTCTGGCAAAGAGTTCCACAGCTTGACTGCGTGCTGTGTCAAGAAATCCTTCCTTTTGTTTGTTTTAAACCTGCTGCCTATTAACTTAATTCGGTGACCCCTAATTCTTGTATTATTAGGAGGAGTAAATAACACTTCCTTATTTACTTTCTCCACACCAGTCATGATTTTATACACCTTGATCATATTCCCCCGTTATTCGTCTTTTTTCCAAGATGAAAAGTCCCAGTCTTATTGATGTGTCCTCAGATGGAAGCTGTTCCATGCCCCTAATAATTTTTGTTGCCCTTTTCTATACCTTTTCCAATTCCAATATATCTTTTTTTGAGATGGGGCAACCACATCTTCACGCAGTATTCAAAATGTGGGTGTACCATAGATTTATATAGAGACAATACGATATTTTCTGTCTAATTATCTATCCCTTTCTTAATGATTCCCAACATTCTGTTAGCTTTTTTGACTGCTGCTGCACATTGAGAAGATGTTTTCAGAGAACTATCCACAAGGACTCCAAGACCTTTTTCTTGGATGGTAACAGCTAATATCATTTTATATGTATGGTTGGGATTATGTTTTCCCATGTGCATTACTTTGCATTTATCAACACTGAATTTCATCTGCCATTTTATCACCCAGTCATCCAGTTTTGTGAGATCCCTTTGTAACTCTTCATAGTCTGCTTTGGACTGAACTATCTTGAGTAGTTTTGTATCATTTGCAAATTTTGCCACCTCCGTCTTGACCCTTTTTTCCAGATCATTTATGAATATGTTGAACAGTACTGGTCCCAGCACAGACCCCTGGAGGATACCACTATTTATCTCTCTCCATTCTGAAAACTGACCATTTATTCCTACCCTTGCTTTCCTATCTTTAACCAAGAGAGGACCTTCCCTCTAATCCCATGACAGATTACTTTGCTTAAGAGCCTTTGGTGAGCCTAAGTACACTATATGCACTGGATCACCCTTGTTCACATGCTTGTTAACCCCGCTCAAAGAATTCTTGTAGATTGGTGAGACAGGATTTCGCTTTACAAAAGCTGTGTTGCTTCTTCCCCAACATATTGGGTTCATCTATGTGTCTGATAATTCTATTCTTTACTATTGTTTCAACCAATTTGCCTAATACTTAAGTTAGACTTACCAGCCTGTGTCATAAATATAAAGGGAAGGGTAA